TTCTCACTTAAGAAAGCGATGGGGCGTCCTCCTTTGCTTAGCACTGTTCCGATCCCCACGCAGGAGGCCTAAAATTCCACTTCAAAAAGTTTGTTGAAGTCAGGTAATGCTAGCACGGGTGCCTAAGTCACCTTTTCTTTTAGTGTATCAGAATTTTGGAACCACATTGCACCATACTTGTTCATGTAGCTGGTCTCCGATGGAGAAATCAACTAGACATTGCTGATCCACTAGTACTTCATTTCCCTTTTTCAGCCAGGTAAGGGAATATGACTAGGGATGCGTCTGTGCGTCCAATCCCAACTTTTTCACCATGAGTGTGGACACTATGTTCTCGCAGCTCCCACTGTCGATGATAAGGCGGTAGACCTTTCACTTGAAGGTGCACTTGGTGTGAAAATGCTAAGCCTTAACCAAGATTGGTCTTATTCTGGCTAAGTTTGCAGTACTCGTCGAACGACTAACACTTCTCCCTCGTCTCCGTGGAGTTGAAGTTCTTCTTCTGAGCTTTCCTCTGACTCCTCATCGACTTCCTTGATGGAGCTTTGATCTATGAGTATGAAGACTCGACTTGTTGGGTAGTAAGACTCGACTTGTTGGTTGGGTAGTTGGAGGCTATGTGACCGTAGCCGTGACACCTGAAACACTTCATGACCGACTCTATATTAGAGGAACCACCTTTCTCTGGCTTTTTCCTGCTCTTATCTGCCCTATAAGTTCCCCTTCCAATTTTGTTATTTCCCCCCGAGGTTCCTCTATTGGCTGTAGAAGTTGTAGGTGATCTCTTAGCTGAAGATGTTGGTCTAAAGGACAACTATTGTCTGTTTTGCTTCTGTTGTATCTTCACCTTTAAGGCTAGTGTCTGGGTGTCCTCTAACTTCCAGTATTGGAAAAATTCTTGAGTCAATTATGCGCATGCTTCAGGCATCGGCTCAACTTCATTCTTCCCATATAACAAAGATTTCAATTCCCAAAATAATTTACAAAGCTCAGCTATCTGTAGAGATAAGGATATGAGGAATAATAATAAAAAAGTTAAAGTTTAGAAGTCTGATATGCAAATACGTAGAAATTGCCACCGAATTGGATGTTATGTATGTAATAAATCTTCCAACCATGCAAGTCAATTTGGTTGGTGATATAGCATGGTTCTTAAACTTTTTTTTTTTTTTCACAATAATTCAACAATTTTATAGAAGGCTGCAACCATCCCAAATGATCATTGAAGTACAATAAAAATCTAACAATTCGCAGTTAATTGTAGCACCAATGAAACATCTTTATTAAAACAACAACAACAAGAAGATTTTATCCCACGAAGTGGGGTAGGCTACATGAATCCTTTTTCTCCATTGCGTAATCTCAGCCTAGTTTTTTTTATCATTTTGTTGGGCCTCTTCAGTATCTCCGTTCATCTATAATAACCTGATACGCTTTTCATTTCTTTTCATAGCTGTCTTTGCTCCTCTACAGGTTTACTCTCTTTCTACATAATTCTCTTTGTATTAAATACTGGATGAGCACATATGAAAAGATTATGGAAGTTATGAATTTTATTATTTGTTTCACCTCTTTTATTCTTCATATTCTCTGTTTTCTAGAAAGTGTGGTAAACCACTTCATAATGATAGGGCGTGAAGATTCCTGAAGATGAAATGGAGAGAAATTAACATTTGGCAAGATCACTGTAAAAGTTTTATATGAAAAGCAAACTAAATTACCCATGTTTTGAAGGAAGCCAAAATCCACCATTTCTTACACATTTTAGTGAATGAATCTGAAGTCCAGCATTTTTTTATCAATTCATGCACTTCAAGTTGGTTGTAGGTCTTTAGCAACAAAGAAGAGAAGTGGTTTGCTCGGATTGGCAAGACAGCGAGGGAAGAAAAGGTTGTGCGTCTGAATGAGTCTGGTGGTTGCAAGGGAGTTGCACTGGCCATCAGCTCATTGGCTCTGGACATCGGTCCTTGGGAAGGGCCAAAGGGGCGACAAACTCGATGCCGACGTGGTGGGGAAGAACGAGGAAGAGCCGAAAAGGAAGGCCAGCCCGCAAGAGCCAATCGAGGGATGTGGAGCCCCTAGGACAACTGACAGCCTGAAGGGGCAAATTAAAATTATCAGGAGGGGCAAATTAAAATTATCAGGAGGGGCAAAATACTAAAATGCCCCCCCTCCCTCCTCACACACACGCACAGAGGAGAATTCAACCAAAACTGACTCTCCCACACACAGAGGACAACATTTTATAGCCTCCTACTTCTACACAAAGGAAGGGGTGGGAAGACAAGAAGAATCTAGAAAATACTCTTCCTAAAAGAAAACAGGTCTGTCAGATACGTGAACCAGCTCCCTGGATCACGAGAGTTCGCGATCCGCCTCCCGCCTTCGCCTTCCACTCTCGCGAAGTGTCGCGGGGTTTCTGGCCCTGCGGGATTGAAGCGCCCCGCTTCTGAGTGCATTAAGCGCCTGCACTCTGGTGCTGCTTTCATATTGTCTTCTTGAATCTTCACCCATATCCTTCCTTCTTGCTGCCCTCATCTCGGCCTTTCGTGCCACGTCGATATCTACTGCTTGCTTGTTCTTCAGAACCAGGGAAACCTATACTTTAATATTTTCTGTGTGTCTACCATCTCGTCCTCCATCCCGCCACCTTCCAACCCATATCGGCTTCTTCCACCACTGTTGATCCAACCCTACTCGCATGTTTCATGTCATGTGTATTGTTATTTTATAGTTTTAAGTGTCTCTGATTGTAACATCTATTTATTTTTAGTAATAACATTTATTTTTCTTGTTGTTGTTAGTTAACTCCGGTATCATTTGGTATTAGAGCTAGCCTAACTCTAGTTTATCATATGATTTTTAGCATCCCCAATATTAGCACCCCATCCCAGCACCTTCTAAACCCTCACCAATCCCTTCCACCACCCTTGATCCAACCCTTGTTGCATGTTGTGTTGTGTATTGTTATTTCCTAGTTCTAAGTGTCTCGGATTGTAACATTTATTTGCTTTTAGTAATAATATTCATTTTTCTTGCCGTTAGTTAACTTTGGTATCATATATAGTTTAACCCTAGTCCTATCTTAAGATTTCTAGCATCCCCCATATCACCCCCCTCCTCCCATAATTTGTTTTTTCCACCCCACCCTACACCTCATTCCATCTAAAACTCTAACCACGCGAGGAGACAATTGTCGTAATCTTGTCAGGAATCTATCATGGGTGATATAAAATGGCTACTCCACCAAGTGTTACATCGGTTCGATTCCATTGAGGAAAGGACCTGGTGTGGGATCAACGTCGACCGTAACAGTGAAATCTGTGAAAAAGAACAAGAACTGCTGAATCCCTTTCGTAGGAATGATTCCAATGGAGAAGAAGACGCTTCACAATGCTTTAGGGTATAGTATCTGTGGAGGCCTAGAATTGAGGTGCCCGCTCGAGGATATAGAGAGGAGATGCTTGTTAGATGATACGGAGATGAGACACGTTTTAGAGGATACAGAGATGAAGTGTCTGCTAGAAGACACAAAGATGACATGAATATTAGAGGATATAGAGATCCGAGGATAAACGTGGACCTACCAAGCTTCAAGGGGATACTAGATCCAAATGATTGCCTTGAGTGGATGTAGACTGTTGAGCGGATCTTTGTCTGAATACAAGGAGGTGCCTGGTGACAGAAGAGTGAAGCTCGCCTTCATTATGTTGAAGAAGAATGTTTCTTTGCGGTGGGAGAACCTGAAGAGGGAGAGACAGAGAGAGGGACAGGACAAAATCGCTTTTTAGGTGAAGTTGAAGAAGGCGATGCAACGATAATACCAACCACCCACTACCACCAGGATGTTTTCTTGAAGCTTTACTACATACAATAGAAGGAGCTATCAGTGGAAGAGTACACGACAGTGCAAATCATGAAAGATTGATCATGTTATGCATTGTTCACTTTTAAACTCAACTAGCTCAACTGCTTCCAATTAGATCAACCTATAATCCATAGTAATCATACCTAAATTTAATGTATTCCAAAATTTATTTTTAAATTTAGTCTTATTTTCCTCATAATTTTTAAATCAATCTTTGCTATAATATCGATTTTTGTGATGCCCCATTCTGCGCAATTCAAGTCAACCATGTGATGGAGTAGAGATTGTCAATTTGAGTAGAAATATTTCCTACAAAGTCCAATTCTAATTTTTATTTATTAGAATTGACTCAATAGAAAATTATTCTATATATATTGTCTCAAAATATTCATTACACTTCATAATCCTCTAGAAGATCCATCAAAATTCTTAATACAACAGCAGTATAATTTAATCCATCAAAATGTCGTATAAAGTATTTAATGAGTTTCATATATAATTTATACGTATCATAAGTCTTTAATTTACATAATGTATATTCTTGCTTATTTGGTACCTCTTCAATTGTACACTAACGTACTTAACTGAAGGATAAAATTGGGTCCCGTAATTATGGCCCAATTTACTTCTTGCTCTTTCTTAATAAATTTTTGTTATATTTAATGAGCTAAAAGTTTAGTGGGATAAATAATTTTAATAGAAGTTCGAAAATATAAGAATAGAAACAAAAGATGAATGCTGATTTTTTGAATTAATATTGGTATTAATATTCATGCATGTAGTTAGGTCATTACAATTCACTTTAATTAAGCACTTAATAATAAGGATGGCTATTTATAAGGAATAAAATACAGCTATCAAATAGTAAATTATTTATGCAAATTATCAAAAATGATAACCTTACACACTTTGTTATTATTACAGTGATCAGAGCTGCTTTTTAATATCTTTTTGCAGTATTTGCCTTTATTAAGCCTCATCTATAGATGGCATCGACTGATTCCTCTAGTCCTTGAAGCATTAGCATCTTAAAGAGATTGGAACTCAATAGGAAAAGATTGTTGATATTTGATTAGCTCAAGTTTTAGAAACAATTGTGAGAGAATGATAGCAATTGCATTATTTTTCACAGATTCGTGACACTAGTGTGTTCGTAAAGCTACGACCTGCTTGGGAGGATTTGAGGAGCTACTTGACTGCCAAAGGACGGAAACGTTTTGAAGTATTTGTGTGCACAATGGCCGAAAGAGACTATGCTTTAGAGATATGGAGGCTTCTTGACCCGGAATCTAATTTGATCAGCTCAAATCAGCTATTGGATCGGATAGTATGCGTAAAATCTGGCAAGATTTCATCTTTAAGATATGAAATTAAATTTATATAATATATTAAAGAATCATGCTTATGTATCCTTTACCATGCAAAAATTTTCCTTGTCATACTGATTTGTTGCTTTCTTATATATTAAGCTATTTATTTTGCGCATTTTTTTTAAAATTTGAAGCTCTTAAAAATTCTTAATTCATAGCCTAGCAGTTAACACTGCAAAAATTATACATAAATTTTTTTCGAGTTTGATTCTTTGTCCAATGTGTTTGCAGGTTTGTTTGATGATTTTATGTTTAATGCTTTGCAGGCTCAAGGAAATCACTTTGCCATGTTTTTAGAGATGCTAATTGTCATCCAAAAATGGCGATGGTTATTGATGACCGATTGCAGGTTTGGGAGGATAGGGATCAACCTCGAGTTCATGTTGTCCCTGCGTTCACTCCATATTATGCCCCTCAAGCAGAGGTTCTTATCTTTTTTTATTATTACGTTTTATTAATCACATTGATGATTGTTGCGAAATGTTTGCCATGGCTGAGTTTGTGTGCCGTTTAATTTTAACAGATGGCTAATACTGTTCCTGTTCTCTGCGTTGCAAGAAATGTTGCCTGCAATGTACGAGGTGGTTTCTTCAAGTAAGTGGAGAGATATATGTTGCTTTTGCTCCTTTTTTGTCTTATAAGTATTCATTCGAGACATTTAGCCACGTCTATACAGTATTCTTATGAAAACTTCTATAAAATAATGTAACATGGCATTCTTGACAGAGAGTTTGATGAGATTCTATTGAGGAGAGTTTTTGAATTATGCTATGAAAATGAGATACCTGATTTACCTTGTGCTCCAGATGTAGGGGATTACCTGATGTCAGAGGTATGCTCATTGTTTTTCTATTTAGTTCGCTTTTTTTTTCTGTCTGTTTGTTCATTGCATGATCATCTAGAAATATCAGGGTACTGATTTTGTGGTAAATAGTTATAGAGATATTCTTCTTACCGATAGCATTAATGGTACTGAGGTAAAGCGTAAGTTTATTGGGCCTGTAAAATCAGTGTTATATGATCCCATTTTTTTTCTTTATTATGTTAATATTTAAGAAACTAAATGGGTTGGAGAAAAGACTAAAGAGGTTGATAACTTAGGTTTTAAATATTGATATTCTGGTAAGAGTGCACTAGAAATGGGGTACGTGTAATTCAAAGTTTGAAATATAATTTTGTAAAAATTAATAGAGTTGGTAAAAATTTAATTTTGTAAAAATTAATAGAGTTGGAGATAGAATTATTGCCCTTAAGATTATTGTTGATACTAAGATTTTTAATATTATAAGTGCATATGCTCCTCTAGTAGGTTTAGACATAGGTTTTAAGGATAAATTCGGGATTGACTTAGAAGACTTAATATAAATGATACCTCTTGAAGAACAAAATTTTATTGAAGGAGATTTAAATGGTCATGTCGGTACAACGGTAGAAGATTTTAGAAATATTCATGATTGCTGCGGTTTTGGAGTGATCAATGAAGAAGGTAGAACTATATTAAATTTTGTTTGAGCGTATAATTTTGGTGATCAAACTATTAAAAGGTGTGAATGATTTAGATATCTTGGGTCCGTTGTTCAAAGCGATGATAATATAGATGGGGATGTTAATAGTAGAATTCAAGTTGGTTGGTTGAAGTGGAGGAATGCTTCGGGCCTTTTGTGTGATAGAAAAGTA